AAAATGAACAAAAACCCCATACTCATTACTATTATTATTATTATTATTATTATTATTATTATTATTATTATTATTATTATTATTATTATTATTATTATTATTATTATCAGCTATAAAATATAGTGATCTGGCATTGCCCGTGTATGTATTTATCACAATTATCCATTAGATAAGAAGAGGAATTAATTATATCTGGCTGAATGAAAACTGATAGTTACTTCACCATTGTGCTTTGCCCCCTCCCGCCCCCACCGCTACAACTCATCGCGGCACGATTTCTCGTTAAACTCAGTCCTCGTTATGGTAAAATAATTGAAGTCGTCGTCAACTAACTAGATTTATTCAAAGAGCCGGCTTTCGACTGCTTTGCCGTCATCAGTCTCGCTATACGTGGCTCTGACTCGCCACATATAGCGAGAGTGATAAAGATGGCAAAGCCGTCAAAAGCCCATTCTCTGAATAAATCTAGTAAGTTGGCGAAGACGATTTCAGACGACATTCAATTACGACAACAACACCTCATCAGCATTCCCTCAATTCAGTCCTCGTTACACCGCACCGCCTCCTCATTCCGTTTCCGCCTCGCCGTGCGTTGCCCTGCCTCACCCACCCCCGCCCCTGCCCGCATTACTAAAACGCAATACCTAAACACACAAATACAGTGCGGGTTGCTTTAAACTGAAATTTGAACTACAAAATTTAAAACATTACACACTTTTAATCGCAACCCCTTCCTCGTTTTTTTTATCCCTTTCTTAAAAGTGTTCGTGCAAAATTTGGGAACAATCACTTCAGTCGTTAAGAATATATAGTAAAATATACACACATACCTACATTAATGTTGAAGTACGGATAATGTACTATAATGAATTCTCTATGAGGTATTGCTCTCTTCTCCGCCGACGTTAGCCGGTTATGAAGGGGAAGATATACGTAGTGTTACACGATCCCAACACACACACACACGCCGTAGTTTGAGGAAGATGAATGGGCAGAGAAGGGAAAGAGGGAGGCAAAGGCAAAGGAGCGGAAAAAGGGAAACGGGAAGGGAAAAGAGCAAGTACAAAGAGAAGAAAATATCGCTCGCGTTCTGTGGTCATTTCTATATGATGTTATTGAGGTATTCTCCTGGAAGGGATCAGGCAAACCACCGCCAGAGCTGTCGACCTAACCTCTATCCACGCAGGTGCCTCAAACGCGCTGATGGAACAAAGTTTAATAACGGAGTCAGGGAACTCGTTTCAGCAATAGTTTATTCACAACAGCTTAAAAAGCCGGTTTGTCAACAATCACTCAACCGATACAATACTTTGAGGCAAAAAATCTAATCTAAATATCAATGTAAAAAAATGTTCACTGTTCCATATTCACAGGGGAAAAGATTCACCGATTTTTACTCATGACGTGTACGACAATAAAAACGTCTCAGTGATATCCAAAATACAATTAGACTCTGCGACGTTTATAAAGAACTCAAATATGCCTCACTTCTGCTTTTTCAGATGACTATAGAAAGTCAATTACACACTTAATCAGCAAATATATCCAATATAGCAATATTCGAGATTCAAACTACAAGGTTAAAAGTGCTGTATTAGGCAACGACTCTACGAACCACACCGAACCCGAAACCAAAGCGAAGTTAGTGCTCTAGAGGTGACCATCTATCCTGACAGAAAAAGTCCAATGCCGCTGTGAGACGTAGAAATCAAAGATATAAATTTAAAATCTGATGCAGAATACCATTTAAATGACCAAATAACGATACAGAAAATTGTTAATAGTACACAAATCAACAAAGGATGTGTTGTGTAACGGAAAATATTTGGCTTCAGATAAAAAAAACTTCCTTCCCAGACAAAAATATTTTCAGTGTAAAATATCCCTCAGTTAACCTGCGTTATTGCAGCCATAAACGAAAATACCATGACAATAGTTTTCCTACCGACCTCGCGCTATTCTCCTTCATCCCCAAACTTTGCAAATGCCGTTAGAGAAATTCCGCATCTTGTTAACATCTCTACTCCAATAAATGTCTTATGATCAACTCCCTCAGTTACTCACTACAAACCGCGAATGTATTGTAATGTTCTTAGATAAAAGTATCTCTCGCACTCTTTCTGTTACTGTAAAATAAAAATCACCACTTACTGCGTTAAGTACATCTTCAAATGACCTTATCCAATATGTCGCAAATGCTAGCATTAAGAGACATCAATGCCAAACCGAAGGCAGGGATCTGCAAAGTAATATTCTTCGCGGAAAAGTTGTATTACTTTCTGCAATAAATTCGAATTACAACAAAGCGGATATCTCAATCGACGTACGGTCCATTTATCCAACACATTCTAGATATAATGGTAAGTCCGCAATTCGTTGCACCAACACACTAAATCCCCGGAATTAAATCATTTCTGACTTTGTCAGGTATTTATCTTGCTTAATATCCTCTTCCAACCGCTAGCTTTACGCATACCATTCTCAAAATCATTCCGTGGCAGATTATCGAAATGCTTTCACAACTATTTAAGCCTAAGCCATTGGTTTTGCACCAAAGAAATAAACGATCGATATTGATAGATTATTATTACTAGATTATATAACTAGATTTTTACGAAATCGTTAAAGCAGGCACTGCCAAACCATTTTTTCAAGATAAAATGCAAAAAAATAATACTATTTTCCCAAAAAACTGTCGCTAATCCAATCAAAACTATTGGCAATATGTCTATCAAGCATACAGATTGCCGCATCTTAAACAAAATTGTCTTTCCTACAAAGTCATACAACACTAGAACAATAAAACTTTGATACGTTTCAAATCACCCTAATTCGTCTAATCTATGAACGCTTTACATACATTTTAACAGACCTTCATAAAACGGCCAATATTCACCCAAGAAAAGGCTAAGTTGGAGAGTATTTAGGAAATAATTTGGAATCAATTCCAATTTAAAATTATTTTTAAACAAAATATAAAATGTTCACGCCCTCCCGATTTAGCTCATGGTTAGCCTGCTCGCTATCCATGACGCAACCCCGGGTTCGATTCCTGGTCGAGATAGATTATAGCGTGCTTATTCCTTGTAATGTCTCAGTACACGTTGTTGTACGACGAGGAGAAAACTCTCTTCTCAGGTTGAGAAGACCCGAATACGGTGTAGGGATGTCTTCGTGATAGCCACACGAACCCCCTTAACCTATGGCCGCGAGGTCGGGAAGCTGCTGGTAGGCCCTGGCATATTCGCGGGCTGTCGCGCCAATAATTGAATCAAACTTCTTTATACTTACGTAACGTTTATACAATAAAGAAGAAGGAGAATGCACGCAATTATAACATGGTCAGAGATTCATACTAAGAAATACCTCTTACCGCCGATTTCAACTCATGAGCCGTGATGGTATACAGACCTGTTATTATTTCAACCCTTGTGGAACAAATCCAGCACAAAATAATCACATGTGACACAAAGTTTAAAAATATCATCGTTATAATATGGTTATAGTATATGAATAATTGGTAAATAATTGTAACACATACAATGCTTATATTTTTCAACATCGTTCTGAAATAATTCTGCCATGAAGGTTAGTCAACAGAATTTTCAGTCGATGAATTTACATGGTATATGTGTAGAGCATAGGAAGACTCAATATTGAATTGAATGCATTATTTACAAAGTCTAATTCCTACTCGCATTTGTCACTTATTACTTGGTCGTAAACATTACACAAGTCATTTGCGTCATTAGACCCGCTGTTGAGTAGCAGTTAGAAGGGTGCTCAATCGTACCGACATATTTTCTACAATTGTACCAACAATTTTCGTAAATATACCTCATTTATAAATTTTAAATTATTTATTGATCTTTTTTTTTATTCCCAAGAAGCTATAAGATTCGCGAACATATACTTTCCGTTCCCTACATTCTTTACAAAATCAACACACATATCAGTGAATATATTTTACACTGTATCCTTTCGCATGTCCTTCCTCCGTGGCTTTCAAAAACATTATCTGCATATTCCAGTTTCTGCCCACTGTGCCGGTGCAGCGCGCGCCGGCCAATCAATGCTGTAGCGCCAACAGGCAGTCGGTAGACAGGCGACGGCTTTGGCGCACAGGCATTTTCTAAAGCGTGACAGCCACCGCGAGGGTATTTTTCATCCCTGTTAGCTAGGATAACATGACGCAATGTACATGAAAGAATGCTGTTTATTCGAGCGGGTGAAGGTGTAGTGGACACGGGACAGTGAGGTATCAGTTTCGCTTACATTGACATTTAAAAATATAAATACGATACGTCTTCGTTAAGAATACTAGAGCTTATTTGTCATTTACTCATGCAATTGTCATCTGCCCATGATGCCAGAAGTACGATCGTATAATATATTTTTTAAAGATAATATTGAATTTTAGTGTACGTGTGAGGAATGAAAGTTGCATTTACACCATAAAATTGCTTTAAAATTAAGCTTTATTTCCGGCACATGGAAGCTTAAATCTTAGTTTAATAGAAGAAAGTAGTAGTAGAATCTTTAGTTCATATGTTTTAAACATCTCTTTTTGTGATTTCATGAAACCGTTAAAAGGATGTACGCGAACACTCTAGGGGTTGGGGAAATACAATTTGGGAACATCTGGTGTAACGTACCGAGAGCCCGTGGCGTAGATTTAAAACTGTTTCAAAATGAGTAATAATTTTCAATCTGTTATATGCACTTTACATACGAAACAAATCACACGACGAAAATGAAAGCACTTAACTGTATAAATGTAAAAGTGAAGGAATTGAAAATGTTTGTAAACTTAAGTAATTTATACTAAAAAAGGACCAGAAATATTAATCCTTACCCAAGAGACAGACAAGGAGTAAATAGAGAGAAACTAAAATACCTGAGAGTTTGACACAAATACAGCAAGAATGGAAGTGATAAAATTCAAAGATGCAATGTCCACAATTGGTTTACTTTACATAGCTACATTATTACTATCTTACCTCAATTCTTTTACTAGGCAAACATATCCCAGACAGGAAGCCCGAAGATATGCCAGGATATATACCTGAAAGAAAGATGAAGAAAATTAAAAACTCTAAATCAGATAATTTGAAAAAAAAAACAAATAATTATTATCGTTTCAAATACGTTATTAAGTCAACAAAAACACGAAATAAATATATTTAGAACTATTCTAAATATTTACCAGCATCTAAGAAAATAGTATTTATTTTTTGTTTTCTCTTTGCAATATACAAAACACTTTCACTCCACAAACAACCCTTTTTCACGCAGAGGCTCACAAGTACAAAACGAAACAAAACATTTACATCTTCCTGCATTCCTCAATAATGTTTTGATATTAACGTTCGCGATTCTAATTTGGCTTAATGGAAGAATCAGTCCGCAAAACTGGTGAGTTCCAAACTTTTTTTCTCTCGCAAAAACTCAAACTACCAGATTCAATGCGGATCCGATCCCGTTCGCCCACGCAACCCCACCTGCCAAGGAGTAGCGCGCCGCCCACGTCGCGTACAAGGCATCTTCATTTACGAGAAACCGCATTTCACGGGCGGGATTTCATGCTCGCAGTAGCGAAAACCACCTCCCCACGCGCGCGTCCTATAACCAATGGAAAAGGTGTCTACAAGGCCAACAGACTGGCCTGAAGCTGGCACGAGAATTATTAATGAGAGGTGGATCGAATGCTATAGTAAGTTTCGAATCTCAAGGAACTCACTGGTTCCGTTCCCTTCAATATGATTAGAATTGGGGATGAAGATAACGTACCACAACTCAAACTGTAGAGTTTTTTTTATCACGAAGGAAAAGTTCTACATTCAGCACTAAATTTTGAATGTTAAAGATTTTAAAATGATTTACACGGTCATGTATAAGAAAATAAAAAGGCAGACATTAAATTCCTGCAATTTATGTCTTCTTATAATTCAATAGATTGTTTTTATAAATTGAACCCTGGGGTAATCTATGAACATACACTGCTCAGCAGCAGTTGAATTACATCCTTGTTTTCACATTCGAAAGTATGTATGATCTCTTAATTTTGAGTTTATGATATTCGAGTTGAGCGGGGAATTCTGTAATGCTATCTCTTTAGTAGGACAAGCACGATTGCGCAAGTAAAGGGAGAGCATTTAGGTCATTTTCAGTTGAGTTCGAGAACAATCTGTTTATGTTTCCATCTGAAGGGTTTCCGAAACTGCTGGAAATAATAAAATCAGACTTGTAACGTGCAACATGACACTAATGCTAACTCGTATTATTCATTAGCTCTAATTTACGTATATCAAGTATGATTTACTGGTGACAAGTGATATAGTTCATCCAATCTGCGCAAAACAGAGAAACCTTGTCAGTTTAGTCCAAAGGAATGGATGAAAAAGGCATCGATTCATTTGGGATACTAATGGCGTCAGTATGGAATGAGTCTTTAAGATCGAAGAGTAGCCCTCAAGTGTAAATGAAGAAAAATATCTCAACGCAACAAGAAAAATGTTATACGAGAACAATTTCTTTACGTTAATTGACAAACCCAGACAAGGGTTACTAAATTGTTATTAAGATGATTTAATTTTAAGAGGTGATGATATGTCGATTCATTTCAGATAATACTTATTTTCGTTAAATATTACTTAAATCACAGTCAGTGGACATCAATTATTCTCAACAGCTCCGTCACAGTCACTGTCACACACGACGAATACCTGCAAACAGGAAATATAGACAGGGCCTCTGAGAAGATTTAACAAGTGATTTCGATATATTCTACCACAAACTCGTTGACAACACTTCATTATTTCAACAATTCACAGCAAGTAAACATGAATTCAGATACTTTGTCAAATACTAAAATTAATAAATATATTTGAGAAACTAGGCACACGAAATAAGACATTTTGAAATATGAATTGCAAATCAAGCGGACGTGATGCACGAACTGGAGCTGAAGGTTGAACACTGCTCTTTGCAAGTGAAATCACACTAAAATCGCGAGGAACTGGAGATGGGAAATTCCTGGAGTGCCCGCCACTGCGGGATTTCCTCGGCTCTGCGAAGGCGACCTTGCCTGCAGATGCCGGGGCTCCGTCGTGCAACGTTCGAGCGAATCCGCTCCTGCAACGGCACGTTCTACCGACCACACTCTCTTAGGTAGGCCAGCAGGTCCCTAAGTCTGTGTCCAGGAAACACCTTGATTCGTTCTTGAAAAATGGAGATAGTTTCATGATAGGAATGATCTAATAGGTCATGCACTTCAACACTCCAGCCTTTATGAGTCAGATTCTCGAAGGTGTGTTCTGCGCTCCCTAAAAACTGTTGGTACGTTTCCTAAGAACAATCTTTTATTTTAATATTACGCATCACTATTTATTCAGTTTCCTTCTGAGGACGGCCACTGTTTCCCAAGAATCCTTCATTTTGTACTTGAATGAGAGGCCGATCTCTTTTCGGTCCTGCCGAATCTGTTTATTTGGCTCTGGGCAAAGGACAGATACATTACGGAAACCGCATTTCTCTCTTACAATATTTGATGTTCGTTTCCAAAACAAAATTGGCATTGATTGATCGATATACTCGTACACTCTGTAAGAAACGCGTGGGGAGTAAAGGTGTTTCGTCTCAATCGCAAGTGCATAGCAACGCCAGACTCCACACAACACGCCGCGCCTGCAGGCATCAATCGATGGGAGGAAAAGGCCCACTGTGAGACGCCAACGGCATAGGCGAGGCGCAGCGTCGCGGTCTTCAGGAAAAGGGATGGGGCCTCAGGAAAGTCTCCAGCGGCAGCATGCACTTCCTTCAACGCACGAAATGAGTAGGAAAAACAATAAAAGGAGGAATAATGAAGAAATTTATTCATGCATTTCATTTCAGCCGTATCGTGGGCGTTATAAGGTCTGAAAGTGGGAGAAAAAAAATTCTACTTTTTAAAACATCACAAGACAATGAATGGCAAACATTATTTTAACCAAGTAAATATCGAGACTGAAACTTCACCACATGGAAAAGAACCACCACCATATATCGAAATTCTCTATAACTCAATTTTTTTCTGTCCATTGAAAATTCCGTTTAAAGACGTTTCTATAGTATTAATCACAAATTATTTTCATATATCGAACTATTTTCTGACTTAATAGTTTTTTTTCTATGAAACAAAAATGTACAGCACATATTATAAATTGTTTCTAAAAAACTTCGTATTGTTTCATTTGAAGTGTATAACTACTGCGGAAATGTAACTTCTTTCTGGATATTCGTTTAATTGAATTCATGTTTATAAAACACTAGTGCGTTTTCAACTAACCAGTTCCCAATTCTTTCATTAAGGTATCTCACTCCTGCTTTCCCTCTCCGTGGGAGCTTGTAACTGTTCGTGGGAATGCGTACGCCAAAGCGACCTGAAAGTCAATTGCATGCCTCCTCGTTTAATCTCCCTGCCCTACAATGTTTGTTCGTCAGTTCAGCGCAGGATCTGTTCGCTGATAAGCGCTTAAGAAGACCGTTCGAAGTGGAGACGCGAAAACGACTTAATGTTGCAGAAAAGGTGACCGTAACCAAAGATGTGGACAGTGCAATGCAAACAAAACAAAAATCGAGTAGCAAAGAAGTATGCATACAGTTTCGACAATAATAAAAAACCGTGAAAAAATTAAAAACCTTGAAGCTGTACGAGATCGGAAATGGAACTAATTAAGACGATACAAAACTACAAGAAGACGATACAAAACTATGAGAAGTTTGAGGCACGTTCTGGATGGTAAGGTTATTATTTATGCATATCGAAGTTTCTATTCGTCAAATATTATCCAAGGAACCACAAAATTAGATAGAAGGAAGTCGGATTGTATATTGCGAAACGATAATACAGCCAGTAATGCTCTGCGCATGCCAATTACGAACAGTAGTAGACACTAAAAACACCAACAAACTCCAAATTATTCAAAATAAATGTCATATTAATCACAAATGTCCCTTCGCATATACGTAACAAACAACACCACTCAGAATATTTATTCCAACAATACACTAATAAACCAAATAAATTACACAATTTCTATTCAAATTTGATAGATAAACTAGCAACATCCCATTTAAACTAGGGAAATGGCCAACCCAAGCTCGAAAAAATAGAATTCCCATTTGAAGCCTTTCCCAAAATTTTAGCCAATCAAGATTCATAACCCCGAGGTTCTCACTAGATTATCCTATAAGACATTTAGATTAAGTAAGCTTACATTTTTACCTAGAATAAGCCAGAAAACACATTTTTGAAGTGAATCACTTGTTGGTGTATTCCTAGTGAAAATCAATAATAGTATTAATATAAAAAAGTCTCTGTTCTTTCTCCAAATAGCCCCAAGACGGCAAATTAAATTCAATTTTCTAGAAAATAAAACTATCTCGCCTGATTTTGCATAAATGTCATTTTTGATATATCCCCAAGCGTGATCAATGCCACCAAATGATAAATAAAGAAATCATACAGAGCAGCGCGACTCAAATGTGAGCTATTAACAGTAATCACCGACTTGTTAGTCGTCTGCAGTGAAATGGTTAAATTGTTAGAAACACAATTCTCAAAGTAGATGTGCAAGCTTTAATTTTATAACAAACTTATTTTGTGTAAACATTCAGAAATATTCAGGAAGCTATAGTCATTTGAAAAGTGTACAATTCTATGTTTTTAAAGTCAAATTAGACATATTCCTACTAATGTGGCACACTAACTGAAATATGAAATGCCTTATGATTGAAATCACTGTTGTGGGATATAATGAGTACGTCCTCAGCCAAATGTCCTTTGAAAAAGTGACCATAAATAATATTTTCTCCTTATTTTTCAATGATAGTCATAAAGTCAAAAAACGGGATGTTTATGTGGTTTATGGTGTCCGTAAACCCATCTTAAATACAGTTTCGGGGGTGCAGATGTTTCCACATTGAAATCTATCATATTTTCCTTAATGTATTGATAACTACTGTTTTTAGGTACATTCTAAGCGAGAATAGTTTTGATTTGATTGCAATTGTTTTTTAATGTCA